GATCAGGTGGGCGGGGCCAGCCTATTGGCTGGTTCTCTGAACTACTCAAAATTTCCACTCCCGGTTCTCCAGAACCTGTCAGAACTGGCTGAATACTACCTCTGAGTTACTGGTACCGACATGAAATAGTGGTATTCAAATCAGTTTAAGATTGGTAGTCAAGCCTTTGGTTTATGGGTTCTTCTCAAGTAGGCAGTGGCATCATCTTATCTCTCTTCATTTCTAATTCTGAAATTTAATTGGCCTTTCACCTTGGCCAAGTTGGATGTTCTACCCTCTGCACATCCCTTTCCAACAGTGCTTATGACCCTGTAGAGATGGCTCTGTAGAATCCTTAAGCCATGTGCTCCTTCGTTGCTCTCCTTATAGCAGGGGTGTCAAACTTGATTTCATTGAGGGCCACATGAGGGTTGTGTTTGACCTGGGGGGTGGCTGTGGCCTGGGTGGGCATGGCCAGCTTGACATCAGCTGTTTTCACTGGCAGAGGCATTGCAAGCCAGTCCTTCGCTGTTTCCAGCACAACCTTGTTGGCCAGATCTAAGCACCCCTTAACTTTTACATCCCTATTCTATAGGGAATTAAGAACAATATATATTTATCCCATATTTTAAAAAAAACCTACCCTGCCAAACAGCACAATGTGTATCTGTCACGAGGTGAAATGCTACCGGGTCAGACCGGTTTGCCCGAACTGGTAGTAAAAAAATACTAAAAAAATTTTTTAAAAAAAGTTCCAACGATCACACATTGCACAGCTGATCTTCGGAACTTTTTAAAAAAAAACTTTTAAAGCATTTTTTTTACTATAGGTTCTCTGGAAACGTGAGGGTAGTGGGGTCCAGTTTTGCTCTCGGCAGGCTTCTGTGAAGCTTGCTAGGCCAAAAATGTGGGGTGCTGAAAAAGAAAGAAGGAAAGAAAGAGAAAGTAAGTAAAAAAGGGAGGGAGGGAGGGAAAAAGCAGAGGAAGGAAGGGCTACAAACCTGGCGCTAGACGCAGCTTCAGAGGATAATCCAGGGCTGGAAGGGACCTGGAGGTCATCTAGTTCAACCCTGCTCCAGCAGGACGTTGTTAAAGTGAGTTTCTGTCTTTTCATCCCCCAGTTACATGACTACATAGCCACGCCCACCCGGTCACATGACCCCACCAAGCCACACCCACAGATTATGTAGTAAAAAAAATTAGATTTCACCACTGATCTGTTACTGTTTTTATCTGAGCAAGACCCTGATGTATCTTTCCAGGTTTCCCAATTTTGTGCTACCGTTTGTTGCATCCATCCTAACTGTGGCTGAAATTCAGTACAGATGTGGTGATTGCCACTGCTATTTATGCTACAATTATTATTACAACAGTGCACTTTATGTACTTCTATTGTAATTTTTTAAAAAGATTTATTAAGAATTACAGGTCGATTTATTTATGTTGTGCTTTCTGGCCCGTAGGCTGTAATAAAGATTTTGATTTGATTTGACATGGAATGAGCAACACTTAGTCTTCTAAGGTCTTGCACGGTTGGCAGCCTTTAGAAAAGGGAAGCTTCCAACAGGCAACTAAGAAGATTCTTGCTGAGAGCAAATAACCTATCTTGGCCCTTTGTGTGCACAGCCTGCTTTGCTGAGATGCCAGAACAACATCTGTTGTTCAACCATCGCAAAATATGGCCAACTAGGTTGTTTCCACGTTCTCTCTCCTGCTTGTATCACCCAATCTCGTTGTAAATTCAGAGTTAATCTGGAGGACAATATCAGAGGATTTATGTTGGCAAATGAAGGCAAATAACGTTGCAGGATCCAATATGAGTTGGGGACTGGGAACAAAGGTTTATTCTTCCAAGCTTTCAGGCTCGTGCTAGAGCCCATCCTCGGGGAACTTCTCTCTTGCTCCAGAATGTGTCATTCTGAGGATGGGCTCCGGCACGAGCCCAAAATCTTGGAAGAATAAACCTTTAGTCCCAGGGACTGAGTTAGATTGGATTTATGTTGGGGCAGACAAATATGAAGTCATCACGGTGGAATAAATCCCGGAGAGACAATTAGAACTGAGTTTATTGCATTTTTGCTATAAAGAGGATTGTCTTCCTTCTTTGATCCTTCATGGTGGCTCTAATACTTCTGGGAGAAACTAAGACTTGCATTCCTCAACTTGGTGTCCTCCAAGTTCATTGGATTTGAGTTCCATGCTGGGTGGAAAATCTGGGAGCTAGGGAAGTCTGGACCAAACTCTGAGTAATCCAGAGGATGGGAGTCTATGGAGGTGTATTAATAAATGTCTATGGAGATTCTCAGTCATCCAGGTAATGGTTGTCTCAAAGGTGCTTTTTCAAGAGGCAAATGGACTTTCTGGTTTTTCTTTGAAAACGTTTCGCTCCTCATCCAAGAAGCTTCTTCAACTCTGAAGAAAGATGGGAGGTTTTGGAATTAACCTAGCGATGCACTCGAGCTGTGCAATATTTTGGATTTAAAAGAAAAAAAATTGCTTAAGAACGCAGAATGCAGAGACATTCAGGTAGCATCTGTGGGCCACTCCTTAAAGTATCTTCCCCTTTTCCCAGGATTGTGCAGCTGCTCTCTGCAGCTGCAGAACAATCCTGGGAAAAGATGATTCAAGGAGATGCTGGCAGATGCTACATGTGTTCCTACATGCACTGTGAAATTGTGAAATTGCCTACATCCACTGTGATCTTGTATTACACATACAATATCTTAGTAATTTGACGTTTACCAGTAATACATTTTGTTGGATTTTTTAAAAACAACAACAACAAGAGTGTAACGCAGTTTAAGAGATTCTGTGCAATGCAGCCTTAGTTATTAGGATATATTAGTTTGGCTGGGTAGATAAATAGGTTCTATTAATACATCACACTAAGCCATGCTTGTTTTGAGCATGCTCAATTGAACAAGCTGTAAACAGGGCAAAATTAATCTTGCAGTCAGGCAAAATAATCCTGGCTTTTTGGACTTTTTAAAGCTGCTCTTGTCTTAGAACTTTGAATTGGTGAGGGACAGTATTCACCAAATATGCTTAAAAACCACCTGTCCCTATTTTCACATAATAGTACACTTTTAATAGCAATGGAAATAGACTTACAATATATACCGCTTCATAGTGCTTTACAGCCGTCTCTGAATGGTTAACAGCATATTGCCCCCCAAATCTGGGTACTCATTTTACTGACCTCGGAAGGATGAATCAACCTTGAACTAGTATACTGCCATACTCGAACTACTGCCACCATGGCCCCTCTTTTAATCAGTAAGCCATGAAGAAATCGTAGTTTCTAACAAAGATTTATTGCCCTAAAATGTGATTGATTTTGAATGGCCTTAGCATAATGTGGGAACCCAACTATAAAGTTGTCCTTTAAGTCTTTATGATAGGACATAAGAATCCCATTATGTCCTAAAATGTCCTAAGTTACACTGTAGAAGAAATAATGCTGATTCTTCCCAATCTTGCATCCCTTTCTGCTTTAGGCCAGCTCACCCATGTTCCAAGAGTATTGTCAGCAAGTACTGAAGAACTCCAAGGCCATGGCAGAGGCGTTGCTACAACGAGGATACAATCTTGTTTCAGGTATAGTGAAGATCTGCTCCCATGTGTGCTAGAGCACACATAGGAGCAGCTTTTTCTGATGGCCACACTAGGTGAAAATGGTATACAGGTAGTCCTTGATTTACAGCAGTTCGCTCAGTGACAGTTCGAGGTTACAACAGCCCTGAAAAAAAGTGACTTATGACCATTGCAGCATCTCCATGGTCACATGATTTACATCCGGCTGCTTGACAACTGACTCACTTTTATGACGGTTGCAGTGTCCCCCAGGCTCATGTGATTATCTCTTGCCATGTTCCGACCACCCAACTCAACGGGGAAGCCAGATTCACTTAACAACCAAGTTACTATTTTAACAACCGCGGTTCCACCACAAAACTGTGTTCGACTAAAGCGCGCTCGATAAAACTGCATAGCTGACATCATCAACAGGGCGACAACAGCGCGGAGACAGAAGGACGCTGTCAACGCTGAACCTAAAATTAACACCTAAACCTAAACCTAACCCCCCTCAACCTAATCCTAAACCTAAACCTAACCCC